GAACAGAATCGAACCATAGTTTTCACCACCACCATCATCAACGACAACAACATGATTCTCAGCTCAGTCTCCTCTCCACCACTGTGACGTGCGCCCCGCCTGAGCGTGCTCACGCGCGTGTTGTAGGAAGCCCAGGGAGGAGCTCCCACCGCATGCGCCGGGAGTGGCGGCAGCGGTGCGGGTAGCATGGCGAGCTCGGCCATGGCTTCGCCAAGGCCGGCTCTTGGGAGCCCTAAGGAGGGGCGTTGAGGGTGAAAGCTGCGGAGTAGAGCTGGACACAGAGTAAACACTTAACGGCTGTCGACCTCGCGGAAAGAATCCAACGTTCAAATTTCTTGGTGCTTACCATCTGATGCCACACATCAACCCTGCAAAGAAGGTCATGAGGATAGTGAGACTCTGACGATGATGAGGATGAGCAGGATTCTGTTGATGATGAGCCGGAAGAGGAGGATAGTGACGAAGATGGTGCTAAAGACTATGAGAACGGTGATGGTGACTGTAGATCGCAAACGTTGTGATGATTGGGGCTTCGCGACGCTGACTGTTCCTGTTTCCACATTACTTCTGGTAATTACAACGTTGCATCTGGTAAAATAATTGCTAGGAAACTCCCCCTTCCTTGCACTCGGCTATGTTTCTGCAGCTTTGCTCTTGCGCAACTCGTCAAGCACTGGCTCTCAGCATTGCTGAAGGCTCCCGCGCAAGGTGAAACGCATTGCGAATTCCTCCTGTTTTTAGGGTTGTGTCCTGAGGGTGCAGGCCTTCCAGAGCTAAATGGTTAGTGTAGGAAATGTCCTGGATTGGCGTTTCGGCTGGCCTTTGCATCTGAATACTTCACGGGCCGGAGTTACGGAGTTCAAGTTGGAAAGTGATTGCCGGTTGCATGGACATGACCTTGGGGTTGGTTGACTTTGCAGGTCATACCTGGCCTAGTCTGTGTGCTGGAGGTCTATAGGTTGAGAACCAACCAGTCCGCCATGTGCTTGTGGCCGCTTGCCCGCGTCAAAGCTTCTCAAAGGCATCGATCACTCCTGGCTTCACCACTGCATCCACCACTTGCCCTCCCCCCATCCACCCGGCGGCCCCTCACAGTGAAGTTATAATGCGAGCACAGGTGGCATGACCTTTTAAAACACATCGCAATACCGCGGTCTGTCTGGATGAGTGAACGGTGTTTCATTAGACTTACCGATACAAAAACCTTGTGGTCTTCGGGTGTTTCCAGGGGTAGGAGTAATTAACAAGGGCAGGGAAGGAAACGAGCAGCGAGTCGCCTACATATGCATGCCCTGTTGGACAACGCTTTTCTGTTAGACAGGCGTTGTTAGTTAGACCTGTTTTTGAACAAGCAGGTCCGTCAGACAAGTAGCTCTGTCAGACAAGGGGCGTTGTTGGACAAGAGGTTCTGTTAGATAAGCTGCATACGATTTCTGACTTCAACAGCAGGGTTTGGCCCTTGCGTACTCTGATGTGTCTGGTTGCTTGGCTAGTTGAAGTGAAAGCTGGGCAAGTTGTGAATTTGTAGCTGAGTAGCATGCCAACATGGCATGACTCCCAAAATTAGCAGGTCTCAGGTTCTGCCGAGGGTGTTATCCGCAAGTGACCTTGTTGCAGTCCTGATCGCGAGTACTTTACCTGCAGTGCTGGATGACCAAAGCGCACCCATAAGCTACAATAATTAATCAGTGAACTCGGCCTATGCAAGGATCGGTGACAGCCGAACTCATCACCAAAGCGTCTGCAGTTGCGGAATACTGCGTGCAGTAAGGATCATGTTGTTACATCTTCTTTCAACTTACGTTGTGATGTATGCTGTTTGTTTTTGTTTGCCCTGTCTGTCCGTCCGTCTGTCGTGCTTGCTTTCTTGCACAGCGTTTGGGGTGTAGGGGGTTCCCTGCACCCCCGCGCTTGCGCTCTACGCCTGAGGTTCTGTCTGTCTGTCTGCACGTGCGCGTGCGCGCGATGTGTAGCCGGCGCAGCCTGCAGATTCGACTGTACGGTCTGCACTGCAAGTGATTAGCAAGAAACCCCAGCCCTGGCCATCCAGAGATTTCCAGCCCCTCTCTGCCGATCGCTCTCTCCCTCTCCTCACTTTGCACAGGGAATACCAGAAGGATTCTTTGAGTTGAAGCCAAGACTCTCAAGACTGCTCTCAGAATCCCAAAATGCAGACTCCCCAGAAGGCCAAAGGGGACACCTCGTGCACTTCCTCCCCGGTCAGGAGGGTGGAACCAGCTCTTTCGGGGGCAGGTCTGTCGGCCGTCGGACTGTCACCTCAGACGGGTCTTGACTGAGCTTGTTTGGGGATGAGGAGATTCAGGAAGTTGAAAGGTGACTTCCCTGAAGGGATTCGATTGGTGAGGTAGGTGTATCTGTTTGCATTGCGGTTTCAACGGGTTGCTCAGAGTTTCCACGCGCTTGATGTGCTGGCACAGGTGTGACTGATTTGGGGCCATGAGTTGCGCAGTCGAGTGAATTGTGGGTTGGCTTGCCGTCGGCATGCAGGGCTTGAGCTCAGCGATGTGGAGTGCTCTCGTGAACAGAGTCATGGTGCGAACCGACCATGCGGGCAGCGTGTCTTTCTTGAACAGGACCCAGAGATAGTAAGCAAGACATAAACAGGACTCCATCTCAAGCTCTGTGCGCTTAAAAGATAGGTCTACTCCATCAGCGGAAACGACATTACTGCTTGAACGTCAGTTCAACCGCATTCCGGCTGTTGAACTCCGAGCTGCAACCGAAGGCCAAAGTCTGGCCGCACGGGTCTGAGTAGAATTAACAGGCCAGCTTGAGGTGAACACGACCATGGAATTCCTCCCCCTTGCCGGTTTCTGAGTGAGCTGCCGCCTGACTCTCTGGCCTCGAGGAGTTGCGACGACAGACAGTCGGGTGGCGTGTGCTCAGTGTTATCACGGGCGTCCACACTGTCCGACGTCTAAAGGTCATCGGTCGTAGATGGTTGCAGGTTCACGGTAAAGTTTTGAAGGTTTGGGGCGTCGGGATGAGATAATGAGTGAGTGTCAAGAGCACTTGGGGCTTTGGGCGCACAGGGTTTTCGGTGGTAGACTCTCTCAAGGTCGCGACAGGGTGCGAGTGTTAGCTTGCTTCTCTTGCTGTAGGGTTCGTGACCCAGGGCTGGGGACTCAAACATTTGCAATATTGACTTCTGACAAATCCCCCCGCTCTCTCTCTTAGAGCCTTCTGAGACTTGCATAGATGTTGCTCTCAACGCGCCTTTTCAAACATACATTTGTTACACGCAGCTCGTGGTTTTGAAGCCCGAGAAGCTTTTGAAGGTGAAGCTCCGTTTAGAGTCTCAAGCACGTCTGCTATCTAGATTCTGGCGGCTGGAAGGTTCTTATATAAGCGCTGTGTCGGATCAGGCAGTAACTCCGGTATCCAACGTCCTACAAGACGAGTTGTATTCTTTTTGCAAGTACGGAGGCTTTGTGAAACTCCGAACAACCAGATCTGAACCGACGAGGACGGCTACTGTACTACCACCGCTGCTATCACGCGCACTACCATGATTCCTCCCCGGCCGTTCCGAGGTACATGCCTTGTCTTTGCCAGGCGCTGGAACTCGGCCGCGGGGTGCGGCCGGCTTCGTTGTCTGGAGGGCATGCGACCGTCAAGAAAGGACTTCAGGGTTTTCACCCTGGGACCACTTACAACCCAGAAGTCTTACCTGGGAGCCTTCGAGGATCTGCCAGACTCTGGGAAATAGATAAGATGCTCACACAAGCACATACCTCGAAGGCTCTCTCTTTGTGCCGTACTGCAGGAGTCCCTTAACGGTTGGCTTTCGCAGGGCTTTAGTCGCAACAGTCCACATCCCAAGCTACGGGTCTGTCGAGCTTGCAGCAGGTGATGCACGGAAGCGAAGACTAAAGCAGCTTGCAAGTCCAATGTGGATCCAAGCTGTCCCCCCTCTTCACAGACAAGACACATATGCAATTCACGGGTTCTCGAGCTGAGGAACCTTCCCCAAGTGCAGCTAGCAGCTAGCAACGATGGGGAAACCCGCGAAGCGATATCCTGAAAACATCATTAAAACCCGTTAACACCCTGTAAACTGTGAAGCTGTAAGCAGCGTTCGCCTCTGCAAATTCTAGCAGACAGCCAACCTCTGGGAAGATGCTAACTCTGAATCCGAACCCAGATGAATAGCCTGGAAAGAAGCTCTCGCCCAGTTTCGGGCACTGAACTGTCGGGTTCTTACGGTCGGCTCTATTACATGCTGTGCCTGCAAGCTTGTGATCAGACCTGCACCCCTGCCATTGCTGCACCTGAGTTTTGAGGCTCTGCAACTCCTCCTGCAACCGCTTCTCCTCTGCCTGTATGCAGCATCTGTTTGAGGTGCGCGGGGTTTAGGGTGTTGGCGCGTGCCGGTGCCGGATTTACTGCATAGAGAGAGCCTCGCAAAACAGGAAGGGATTCGACCCGGAAGCCTGGAACTGGAATCCAAAACTCATTGATATCTCAACCTCGAACAGAACATCAGACTCAGGTCCCCATCGAACGAAAAGCAGTCTGCACGACAATAAACAGAGCAGGATCTATCTGTTGATACGACCCATCATATTATTCTTCTCATGCCTCTGGATACCATCAACATCAACAACAGCAACATCATCATCATCACACCGTCATGATTGCCCACTATCAGCATCATCATCATCATCACTATCACCATCATCATCATGTTCATCATCACTGATTCAGCTCTATCAGCGGCGTCCATATGATCCACATCATCCGACCTCCTTTCCTCTAGGAAGTGTAAGTCCTGCTGCATGGTGTTGCGCCGACACAAGCCCACTGCAACTTAAAAGGCTTAAGCTTGAAAGCCGCTGAGGCCCAAGTGCAAAATCTGAAGCCTTTCCTTTCTGCAAGCTGTTGCATAAGTTTGTTGGGAGTTCTACACCAACGGCTTCGGGTGACTTCCGCAAGAACATCAACGATATGATCGAAGTGCTCCTACCGATAAACCATCATCAAGACCCCAAAAGAGGGTACGGACAGGTCGTGAATGCAAATATGATGCCTCGAACCTTTGCCGGAAGTGTGTGTTCGTTCTGACTGATTCTGATTACAGCCGGATGCCTTTGGGGGGGTCCTTTATTGCGAAGGCCTCCGACCGTCGTTTTGGTATTGATGAGTTTCGGATACTCCCGGCTTGGAGAAGTCAGGACCGGTCCGGCCTTCATGGCACGGAATTCCGCCCAGTCGCGGTATCGCGGGTGGAGGCCGCATAGAACCTGATTAGAATTTATGAATCTGTGTTCGAGTTTCAGGCATACGGTGGGCTGTTTCGGAGCTCAGCACGCTAGCGACAGTATCGACAATGCACAAATGAAGACAGCCTGTGTGCGTCAAGAGTTCAAACCGACTTCCAACCCTGCCCTGTCCTCCATGACTGATTGCGGCACTCCGGCAGCTGTTGGAGGAGGCGCCTGCAGAAAGGCTTGCGGTCTTGCATCGGTTCAACTAGATCTGACGGTCTTGCCTTACTCTGGAAACTAAGTATGAAGGCGTAGCAAAGGCTAGCTCTTGCGTTGTGGCATCTGCCGGCCCCACAAGGGCCACGCGAAGAAGCCAACTCAGAGCACGATGAAGACTTGGTAAGTGTGGTTACCCAAGCAGGGCTGCACGGCTTGTGGGCAAGCAGTAAAATGATGCCTGTGAAAGTGCTCATCAAGTGCTGCCCGAGCTCAAGGCGTTAACTGCAACCTTCAAGTCCGAACAACTCTTTGCAGTGCGGCACGTAAGAAACATCCACATCCAAGCCCGCGGCCTTGAGAACTCCTTGAACCACTTGGTCGAGGATCTCGGCCAAAGACAGGGCATCAGATCGAAAGCCCTGCAAACCCCAAGCCGAAAGTCCAAATCCATCCTGAACTCTGAACCTCAGCAGTTAGATCTTTTATTTCAAGTTTTACTCGGATCTTGGCGCATGGCCCCCACCAACCGCTCTTCGGGCAAGTTGTCCTTCTCGGTGTTGGCAGCTGCTGCGCTCTGTCCTGGAGGAACTCTCCCGGTAACCTCCCTCGGACAGATGAATCTCGCGCACCGTGAACCACAGGATGTATCGAACATATGCATAAGCATAAATATAAATCGTATGAAGGTGTAGTTTGGTTTGCATGTTGTCTGTCTATCTACCTACCTATCTATCCTTATGTGCAATATGTCAAAGTATATCTGGACATACATGTATGTATAAATATATATATATATATATTTATGTAGGTTGAGCCCCATTTGGTTCGCGAGCACTGCAGAAGGCGAACATAAACAATGAGGCTTTCAGAACCGAGGGAAACGTCTCTGTCACGAGAAAGCTCCTTGTTTGGCTTTCCTCTTTGATGCAGCACGCTGACTCGCCATGGCAAACAACGGGCCAGGATCGAGACGCCGGTCAAGCTTCGGACGGTTACGGGGATTAGCAAGGTCAATGCGCTAAGGCAAGGGGGGCTTGAAGATCATCTGCCAAAGGCTTTCCGCTGCAGAAACATCTTCCTTGAGGATGCCGGTGCGACAGCGGTCCGAAGGCTGCACACGGTCTCAGTCTGGAGATGTCTGCAGGCGTGGATCCTCAACTCACCGAGCGTTTGTTCAAGCAATTCGTCATGCGGATCCAATTAGATCCTGAAGCGCGGTCAGACGAGTTCTTTCTAAACTCGACTGAAAGCAGTGAACGTTCGTTAACGTTGGGAGCATGAACATTAACACCCTGCGTGTCCAGCAGGCTGGAATCTTGCCACCTCAGAACCTCCTCAAACCGTGGTCCAGCTCAGAACCCAAACGACTCCACACAAAGACCTCCTTGGCCTCCTCACCAACAACCCCAACTCCAACTCCATTAGGTGAGATGCTGGATGATGCTGGGACCCGAGAAACACCCAGAAGACTAGAACCTCCAGAGGCCTCCATGCACAACCCCTGACCTTTCGAGCATCCGGAGGTGGGCAGATGCGGAGAAGTGTGACAAAAGCACTCCCCGGGCAAATTGAAACTTCGACGAGGGCGGTGGTTCTCGTAGGGTCTCTATACCTGTCATCCTCATGATCGCTGTCACCAGATTGGTTCTAATTGTTGCCTCTCCATGTACTGCACTTGAACTTCTCCAACCAGGTTGTCGTTACCGTTAAAGTCTTCCCGATGTCTATCTCGCGATGAAGAGTGCCGATGTTGCTGATTTCTACAACTACCTAGACCCTAGTTACACAAAAAATGTGGCAGCAGCAAAACCTCAAGCTAAAGCAAAGCAAAAGCAGCGGTGGCAGCAGTAGTAGCAGCAGCAGGAGTGGTAGTAGTAGTAGTAGTAGTAGTAGTAGTAGTAGCAGTAGTAGTAGTAGTAGCAGTAGTAGTAGTAGTAGTAGTAGTAGTAGTAGTAGTAGTAGTAGTAGTAGTAGTAGTAGTAGTACTAATGATAATAGTAGTAGTAGTAGTAGTAGTAGTAGCAGTAGTAGTAGTAGTAGCAGCAGTAGTAGTAGTAGTAGTGGTAGTAGTAGTAGTAGTAGTAGTAGTGGTAGTAGTAGCAGTAGTAGTAGTAGTAGTAGTAGTAGCAGTAGTAGTAGTAGTAGCAGGAGTAGTAGTAGTAGTAGTAGTAGTAGTAGTAGCAGTAGTAGTAGTAGTAGTAGCAGGAGTAGTAGTAGTAGTAGTAGTAGCAGTAGTAGTAGTAGTAGTAGCAGCAGTAGTAGTAGTAGTAGTAGTGGTGGTAGTAGTAGTGGTAGTAGCAGTAGCAGCAGTAGCAGCAGTAGCAGCAAGCCATGATCAACAACGGAGAACCTGGCAGTTCATGGGTTCGGGCTTGCAGGCCCTATGGGACGTCCACCTCCTCTCGGAGCCCGGGATCAGCGCAGAACGCGATCGCTGTGTGCCATCACCCGGCTGGAGCCCTGCCAGACATGTGCTAACTGTAGACTATTGCGAGAACAGCTCCAATCTTGCTGGGCTTTTCGGGAACAAGGCTGACAAAATATCAAAGCGGGCTTGGTCGTCCTAGCAGAACTTTGCAGTGGCAATCCAGACAAACAATCAAGATTCCAAGCTTCAGTCCAATCTTACCACAGGAATCATCACTGGTGATGCTTCCTGTATCAGAAGTCAGTAAGAAATAGCATCTTGAGGCTCCTTGTGGGTTTTTTCCGCTGCAGCAGGAGCTGCCTTTTGGGCCAAATTCGGGATTACAGCGACGCAGTGCGATCACCTCAAGCCTGCAGCAGAAAGAGCCATCGACTGCACGAGCGCACCCCAGTCACGGCCCCGAAAAAGAACTCTGAGCTGAAGCTCCTTGCCAACCGAGCCGAATGTGCCTTGCCACCAGCAGTTGCCTGACACTTCGGCATGGGATTTAGGTCAGATTTAGGTTTTGAAGGCGCCCGAGGGGGACTCTTGAGCCTGGGACAAACCATGCGAACTCCAAGTACGAGCACAAAAAGATGACGCGAGAGACTCGGCGAGAGACTCATGGCTACGGGCTCGTCAGAGCGGTCGTGCTTGGCTTTCCGATTACGGTGGCCAAGGATCCAGAGCTCGCTTCAAATGCAGCGTGCTATGTTGGGTGAAGCTCACCCCTCCGTCTTCAACTATACACTGTACACCTCTTATTCATGCTTGCCAGGTCCGATTCGGAGCCCTGCCCTGCAGGCCTCCCGCAGCAGGGCCTGGATCGTGTTGATCTCCCGAGCCATGGCATCGATCTGCTGCCTCGTGGTGACCACTGGTTGTGCGTGAAACTACCAGCAAAACTTGGGTAAAAACACTCATCACACTGCACAACACCACCCATGGCCGACGAAGAACAGAACAGTAGCCATGTGGCAGGTTCTACTAGGAAGTCACGGCTTTCCGTCTACAAGACCGGCATGGCCCACAGAGCACTTGTGATGCCGATCCAGGGATACGTAATCAAACATGTGTGTTTTGAATACCATGTCTCTCAGTCCACATGTGCCCAAGACGATAAACATGAGCAGCTACAAAACTACATGAGCCCATGAAGCTATATATATATATATACATACATGTATATCCACTTATGATTATTAATGTGTGTGTATATATATATATATATATATGTATACATATAGCGTGCTTACAGAACTGTCTATCTAACGATCTCTCTATCAATCTATTTATCTATCTGTCAATACATACATATAGGTACATACATATAGATGTGCATGTACATATAATTGTATGTATGTGTGTGTATATACATATATACATACATAAGCAGGTGTATACACACAGGTATGTGTACATATACCTTTACATATATATATATATATATATATATACGCAATCTAGTTACTGATCTTCATACTTGTACAGCTAGCTTCATAACTTACTGGTTGACTGGCGAAGTAACTGACTAACTACCTCACTAACTCACTAACTGACTAACTAACTAACTACCGAGCCGACAAACCAACTAAGTAAGTAGCTGCTTCATCACTGGTCAGTTAGTCTATTACGAATTTTGCTAACCAAAAAGTTCACTATCTAAGTCACTTACTTACTGAACTACAAGAGAAACTGTGTATACATGTACAGAGGCTTACATATACATATACACATACATATACATTCATACGATATATCTACATGTATGTACTTATATACACATACAGACACATGCACATGCATATACGCACATGTGTAGGCAGAGAGAGAGAGAGAAAGAAAGAGATAAATAACCAGATAGATACAGATATAGATACAGAAGCAGATGTACAGCAGAAACAGATAAGGATAAAGAGATATAGAGATAGAGAGGCAGAGACACAGAGAGACGGAGAGAGAGAGAGAGATGGATAGATAGATAGGCAGGTAGTCAGATATGCGTGCACGGATGTATATCATGCATATCTACAAGTGTATGTGCATATATATATATATATATGCTCACCCCCCCCCCCCGGTGACAGACCACGGGTCTAAAAAACACCGTGCACAACGATATTCTGTGAAGCAAAACCGTTACATGAGGTATATAGTATAGCACCAGACGTGCGGCACATGAGTTACGTAATAGTCTTGTGGTAGTATCGGTATTAGGGTGAGTATTGTTGTTAATATTAGTACTATTGCTTGCTGTAAGTATACGTATCAATATTGCCAACTATAAATTAGTGTTAGTGCTCATGTTCGTGTTAGAGTTAGCGCTAGTGCCAGTGTCAATGTCAGTAATACAGCACCACTGCTACGAGTAGTATCAGTATCAGTCTTAATGCTGGGTTTAACAGCAGCTTATATTCGCAGAAGTGCTAGTATTAGTATCAATATTAGAACTAGTTAGTTTTGATATGTTAGTATATTGATAGTCTCGTATATTAGCAGATTAGTATATCAATACATCAATGTATTCGGACAGCAAAATATTTGCATACTTGTATACTAGTATATTTTACATGTTAGTACAACTGGTGCATGACTACACTACTATACTGCTGTATTAGCTTACTAGTATATTGACATACCAGTATATTCGTACGTTAGCATATTAGTGTACGAATATGTGTACTATATTACTGTTTTTTCTAATCATGTATAGGTATATCAGTATGTTGGCATATTAGTATACGAACTTGTCATGTCGGTATTCTTGCATAGTGCAGTAGCCGTATATGATTATAGTCACATATTCGTATAGTATATTCATACAACAACTAGAAGTATATTGATACATTGGTATATGGGTATATGCCTATGCCAAGGCATTAATACATGAATGCACTGATGTATATATCTGTATCTTAAGATAGTGGTACGTATTTTATGTGCATGAGTATATGCAGGTGTCTATTAGTAATGGTACTAGTTTTCATATCAATATGAATATACTATTGGTATTCGTAGGAGTATTAATGTCAATACTAGTAGAAGTAGGACTGTTTATACTCGTAATAGCCATAATATGAGTGTTCATGCTGGTAATACTAGTGGCATTCTTGAATATGCAGCAGATTATCAAAGTCCGTATTAGTGTTGGTGATAGCACTACTGTTAACGCACAAGGGTTTACGTATTCGTATTCGTAGGAGTATAAATAGCTATGTAAATATTGATGTTAGTATAGATTTTGTGTTAAGTATTAGCAGTAGTGTTAGCGTTAGTACTATCATATTATTGATGATATACATTCGAAAGAATGTTTGTATTGTTATTACTCTTGACCACGTGAAATTCTAACAGTTGAATTCATGAGTGAGTTAAAGGATTTGTATTTTAATATGGTGGTATGCATGTTTATGTACATTAGTACATACAGGTGTGTGTTAGTATTGGTATTATTATACATTATTATCAATATGAATATGGTTATTGATATGCGTAGGAGTACTAAGAGCAATACTAATCAATCTTAGTATTTGTGTTAT